CCCCCCCCTCCCTCCTCTCTCTGTCGGTGTCAGCGCAAGCGCACGCGCCATGCACGACGAAAAGACGGGGGAGAGGAAGAAAGAGCAGCAGCAGTGGCGGCGGGAGGAGAAGCAGCAAATGGTCGCGCAGGTGCCCGCCATACAAAACCGCTGACGTTCCGCCGGCTGACGCCGCTGCTGAGAGCTGCCGCCCCCGTCGTCGCGCCCCGCCGCACACCTTGCGTGCAGCCGTTATGCAGTAGCTGCTTGCGGGTCTGATGCATAGCGCCTATCGCCTGTTCCGGCAGCGCAGACACACGCGGATGCGGGGAGGCGGCGGCAGCGGCAGCGCTCGGCGAGGACATCGAAGGGCCTTTACTTCTTCCGCCATTGCTGCTCGCAGTGGCGCTGGAAGCAGACAGCGCCTGCCGCCGATCGGTCCACCACGCTGACAAAGCAGCCCACGGCTTTGACCAGGCCACCCACGCAGGCGTCAAACACTCGTAGCCTTGGGCGACGGCCATCATCAGGTCTGAGGAGAAGTGCTGGGCACGTAGCGGACGCATAAGAAGGTTGTTCATCTCTGCCAGCTCTGCCGTGGTTTGCGGAAAGGCAGACGGCTCACTCCCCATCGATGCGGCAGGCGCGGGGTCCGTGGAGGGGGAAGGTGAGGACGCTGATGATGAAGGTAATGCGGAGGCCGCCGCGACAACCGTGGGCTCCGGCGCAGTCGCAAACACAACCCCCGTCGGCACCAGCGAAGCCAGTCGTCGCAGCCCGACCTCCCGTCGCGGTAGCACGTGCGTCCCGCCGTGTATCTTCAATCCTAAGCGGTGCAGCAGCTGCTGTACGTTCCACGCGTTGCACGCCACAGCCCATTCTGCTGGGGCACGCGCCTCAAAGGCGGCGGTCAGCTGCGCCAGCGGAATGCCCGGAAAGTCACGAATCGGCTGATTATTATTATTGTTGTTAGCATGGGCGGGGGTGTTTGCGGAGTGGGCTGCCTTTGCCGTCGCCACCTCGCGCGTCGCGATGGCCATCAGTCGATACAGCACGCGCAGGGGCAGCTCCGCGGGCTCAGCGCCATCTCTCCCTGTGCCAGTCCCATCACCTCCTCCTCCTCCGCCTGTCCTCTTCTCCTCTGCCCGCGATGCCCCGGCAAAGACGCAGCACTCGTGCACGTCGTCCTTCAGCAGCGACAGCAACCCGCGATAGAGCTCCGTCTGCACGCGCAGCGTCTTCGTGATGCCCATGTGTCGTCCAAGGTTCAGGTTCTCCTCGTACGGGTCCTCAATGCAGAAGGAGTAGCGCGTGGTTGAGCGATTTCGGCGTGCAGCGGCAGCGCCTCCGCCGCCGCCGCCGACGTTGCTCAAATCATTTTGCTGCAGCTGTTGCGGCCCCGGTGGATGCAGCCCACCGCCGCCTATCGCGCCATCCATCGGCCCACCACCGCTCAGCGGCACCGCGACGTCCTCCACGGCCCACCCAAGCATCGCCTTCGTCGTCACACCAGGTCGGTTGAGCGAGACAACGTGGAAATCCCAGTCAAAGTCAAAGGCGTAGTAGTAGAAGAAGCCGAGCAGCAGCTCCCCGGCCTGCGCCTGCATCGCGGCGCGCTGCTCCGCCGTCCAGGCCGGGTCCACCATCGCGGCGTACTCGGGGTCACCCGACACGTTGCCGCGCAGCGAGGCCGGTATGTCCTCCGTGGGGCTCACGTACGGAATAACATTGTGGTGTACCAGGTAGTAGATCCACATGATGTTGATCGCGTAGCTCGTCAGGTAACCGTTCATGGAGTTGTTGACCCCGCTGCTCTTGGACCAATCCTTCAGCACCAACGCACCGGGCCTCGCACACGGGTGGCTGAGCAGGTAGCGCCGCAGCAGGTGCGAATTGCGGATGCCAAACGCACGAAAGCTCAAGTCGAAGTCCATCCCGTATAGCTCTGGCCGGCACTCCTCGTGCAGCGGCTGCACCCGCGCCCGCATCCCCGCCGAGACGAAGTGCAGCGGGCACGTCGCCGCGCTCATCGCGCTGGTTGTCGTGTCGAAGGTCATGCAGCACATCTCGCGTGTGCGATTCCACCACACCTGCTGCACCGCGGCGCTGCCGACGGCGAGACGGATGCTCGCCTCCAGCACGGCGCTGTCGAGAGCGCTCGCCGGAAGGTTCAGCGTGTAGCGCACACTGCGTGCGATGACCAACTCCGCCTCCAGCTGTGTGTCGTCCTCTTCGCTTATATCCGAAGACGAGGAAGGGGCCTGCAGTGTTGATGTGAGAGCCGCGGAAGACTCCCCGTCTACTGCCCCGTTACGACCCGTCGCGGCAGCAGCAGCGTCGTGTGCCGCCTGCCGCAGACACCGTCGCTGCTCCGCCGTCAACTGTATCGGCAGCGACGCGTGGTGTTTAATGATCGGCACCCGCGCGTGGCTGATCGGCTCTAAGTTAATGAAAGAAAACCCTGCCCGGCGCAGCAGCTCCGTGATCGTGCGCACCGCATTTTTCTCAGATGGCGGCCACATCCCCGCCTCCAGCTCCGCGACGTCCACGACGGTGAAGTCGATGTCTGACATGCCGTCCCACACGCCAAAGGCGACGGAGCTGCCGAAGATAAAGACGCGCGCGTTGGGGTGCCACCGCTGCACGACGAGCTCCAGCTGCGCTCGGGCGCGGTGCGCCTCGGCCATCTTCGCCGCCCCCGCATCTCGCTGCACCGCAACACGAAACACCTCCTCCCCCCAACGCTGAATGACATCTTGTTTCCGCGCCAGCACCTGCGACCACACCGGCACAAGCTTCTCGGCCACGGTGCGCAGTCGGGTGTAGTCGGCGAGGGCATCGCCGTGCAGCTCCAAGGCGTGCCGCTCGAGGTCGCGGTAGGAAGAGGCGACGAAGTGCATACACGCGTCGCAGGTGAAGAAGCCTTCGGGCGGGTGCGAAAAGGCTGAGAGGGAGGAGGAAGAGGGAGCGGCGGAGGCACTGGTGGCAGGCGACGCCTCGGTGAGCTGCGGCGCGTCGTCTTCCGCGTCGCCAAACGTGTCTTCTGTGGCAGAAGCTCCCAGGGTGTTGGGTCTCGAAGGAGAACCCTCCCGTGCATCAACGTCGTGGCCTTGTGCTACTTCAAACAGCGGCGGTGCCGCTTCCGCGGCTGGTTCTTTCTCGGGTCGCGCAAAGAAACTGACGCCGGAAGGCGCTTGTGAAGCTCCCGTCTGCAACGGCGACGTGCTAGACAAACCCTCCTGCGATATCCCTTCCTCGCGGATGTTGCTGCTGTTATTTGCAGATGCGCTCGCGGTGGAGGCGTCATTGCCGCTCGCAACACCGCCGTCACGCCGTCGACGCACCAGGCGATTTCGCGGAGAGGAAGAACAAGACGACAAATGAGACGAACTATCTGCGGATTGACGGTCTTCCACAGCCGCTGTTGCAGCTGTTGCTGGCGTGTTCATCGTGCTAGAGGAGAGTGGGGAGGACGTACCCGTTGAAGGTGAAGCAGCAGCAGCAGCAGCAGCAGTGGAGGCGGCTGTGTCGCTGCGTGTGCCGTGACTGTTGAAGAGTGCGGCGTACTTACTCATGTTGCTGACAAGGCCAACAAATGAGCTAAGAGACTACAAAACGGAAAAGAAAATAAAGATAAAAATAATCTGTGGCAACTGTCTACCTCAAATGAACCGAGCAGCTGCGCAAGAGAGCCAAAGTGGAAGGAGGGTGCCGTTGCCTCTCCCAGAAAGCGATAGGCGCACACACCTGGAGCAGCAGCAGCAGCAACAAAATGAAGTTGATAGCAAGTAGAAAGAAAGGAAAAAGAGGAAATAGAATGAGCAGTAATTGTTGTTATTTTTATTCTTCACACATACATACATACACATATCCACTTGTCTGGCAAAGTTGATGGAGTGTGTGTGTGTGTGTGGTAGACCGCTGCTTCACGCCGGGACAACTTCATTTCTCGTGCGCCGAATTCCGTGCTGCGGCAGTCACCCGCGCGCCGTAGCAGCCAAAAACCAACACAAAGCGAGCGAGCCTCGCGCAACGCTTGTACGTGCCGGTCAACTCCGCATCGTATCCACCAACAAAAAAACAATCAAACGTACTTCTTGTAGCAACCATTTCAGCTTTAAATGCGGTTTGTAGGTTTCTTTTTCTTTTTAACTTCTCTCGGTATATATATTTCCTTTCGCGGAGAGAGCATCGATGTCAGCCGGTGGACTTCACTCGTCGGAGAGACAGTGGAAGCACAGCAAGCGCCAGGAAGAAAGGGAAACAGAAGAAAGACACACACAACACACAGAGAACAGCGAAGGAAAAATCGAAGCGGTACAGCTGTGAAGATTCCAATTTCAGAGGAGGAAGGTTAAACACAGCCATAAAAAAAAAGGAGAGGGATGTCTGAATAATAATAATGATAATAAAGTCCGGTAGAGAGAGCCCTCTAACAAGGTAAAAAACAACAACAACATTCTTATTAACAGTTTTAAAGAGATGAAGCCCAACGGACGTCCAGAGAAATAATAAATATATATTTTTAGTAAAACTAACTTATGCTTTTGAAAAACAAGAGGAGTTGAGATGTATCGTTACATCCAGCGAGTGTGCCAGAGGAGGGCAGAACCGCCAACAACACCACCACCAAGGGAATACCGTAGAGAAGCGTAAAGAGAAAAACAACTAAAAAATATACCTGCTGAGGCAGCACACGGAGGGCTCAAAGAATTAATTTTGGGAAAAAAGGAAAGGGACAGGGGTGAGTTGGAAAGGCGTGAAAACGCGAAGCGCAGCCAAGACGTGTTTCGAGCGTGGAGCAGTATGCGTACACCTGCATGACAACGACGCACGAAGACCCTAATGAGTGCGCCTCTTATCGCTCGCGTGTGTCTGTTTCCATGTGTGGACGAGGAGGGGCAAGACCGTCTCTCCTCTCCTTCCCCCCTTTCATCTTTTCCTTCTCCCTTCGTTCGTTTCGCTGCCTGTTACAGCTTGCTCTGCGGCACCTCGATGGAGTGGAGAACCACGTCCGCGTTCTTCTGCGTCGTGTCGACCAAATCTCCGTTAACCGTGTCGCTGCCCGCCGCCCGCTCCATCGCCTTCTCCATTGAGATCTTCCAAGCCTTCATGTGGCGTCGCGCCAGGCGCTTCGTGCACACCTCCTTGTCGCATGCCAGGAAGATCTTCACATCAAAGCGGTTTGCCACCTTCGCCCACGCCGGGGTGCCGCGGTAGAGCAGGTAGTTACCCTCCACAATCACGACGCCCGCCGTACCGGGAATGCGGATGTCGCGCTCCACCGGATCGCCGGCGCCGTGGTCAAACGACGGCACGAGGACGTCCTCGAAGAGCCCACGCTCGTTAAAGCGCTTCATCGCCTTCAGGTCCCGCTGCAGCTTCACCGGGTTGAAGGTCCACTCCGCCCCTCGCCGCCGCACCGCCTCCTGCGGGTCCGGCATCTCACTCAGCTCCTTGCGGTAGAGGTGGTAGCCGTCCATCGGCATCACGCAGACCTCGACGCCGCGCGCAATATCGCGGCGCTCGCCGATGTTGTAGTAGACGTCACGTGGGTTGCCCTCCACCTCCGCACGCTCCGCATCGTGGATATCGGCGGCGCGATACGAGGCAAGGGGATCCGGATGGCGACACAGCGCCTTGCGCACGGCATCGGCCAAGACGGTGGCGGCCGTCGACTTGCCGCTGCCGGGGCGGCCCGCGACGGCCACCAGCACACGCGGTACACGCGCCTCCGGCACGGCGGGGTTGTGGTTCTTGACACTCTCCGCCTGCAGCTCGTAGACCGCTACGATTTTCGCCACAGTGTGGCGGAGCTCCGCCTCGCTGACGCACTGCGGATGACCGGCAGACATGCTCTTTTCCTTTTTCGTTTGTTTGTTTTCTGAAGAGATTGATTTTGATGGTTGTTTTTACGCGAACTTGGTTTCACACACACACACACACACACACACAAGTAATGCTTTTATTTGTTGGAGGCCAAGACGTGATTGAAAAAAAAGTTTAAAACAATTTCTTTTGATTCGTTTCCGTTAACAACAACAAAAAGGTATTTATACTTCTAGCTTTTCTTTCTTGGATGGAGAACGTGGGGGTTTACTTCCGTTTGTTGTTGTTGTGTTGGGGAGGACACTGCTGTTGTTGGCGAACACACGCGTGATGTCGCAGACGATGGCGTGTGCACACAGAGACGAACGAAGGAGGGGGGGGGGGGCGGAGAGCGACAACGAGAGGAGCAGTGGTGCAGCTTGTTACGAGAGACAGAGAGAGATTTCAAAGGCACGACAGGCGGACAACAAAACAACATCAGCAACAACAAAAGAAGGAGACAACGCGTAGTTTAAACTCGACCTCATGCACTACCCGGTTTGCGCCCGATGACCACCACAAAGTCACCCTTGGTGGTAGTGGAAAGCGTGTCGGCAACGCCTGTCTGCCATTCCCAACGGAATTCAATGAAAAGATAATAATAATACCGAGGAAGCAACTCACGGAGGTCCCAGCTTTTCTTTTTCTTCGTGCGTCTGCGCCTCCGTGCTCTACGATTCACAAAAAGCTATATTGGCGTACCTCTCCTCTGTTTTCCTGCTTCCTGCCCCTTGTACGCATACACATACACACATGTGCTCAAATGCGTGTGTACCTTGTCAGACTTTATTATATTATTATTCCTGTGGGGCGTGCTACTCGGATGACGCCGCCGTGAGAGCAGCGCGGCGCTGCTAGAACCCAAAAAAGAGAACGGCATGTTGCAGCAGGGGGATAAGCGAGAAAAAAAAGCGTGCTTTTTCCAAACCGTGACGTGACACCTAGTTGAAACTATTATCCTAACACGTACATTCAACAGTCCTTACTATATATATATATATATATATATATATAGTAAAAGAGCTGCTGCATAGAGACACAGTATCATCACCATCACCACCAACAGCAGAACAACAGCGATACCCGGCCGCGGCGGAGAAGAGAACGCAACGAAGGGCCGGAGAGAGAGAGGAGGCCGTGCAAGAGGAGCAGCAGACGTGCGTAAGGCTGTGTCTCAAGCGGCGGTAGCGCGGACAAATCGCTTCCTCTCGCAACTACGACGTAGAAGAGAGAGCAGAAACCCCATCAAACGGGGGAAAAAACCTTTGCATATCGCCATATTCACTCGCTGTGCTTGATCGTTAAGGTTCTAATGACCGCAACAACGAGGAGAAGATGCTTATATATTAAAAAGTCCCTATTAGGTATCGGGGACCGACAACAACCGAAGAGAGAGCTAAGTGTTGAGCTGCTCGGCGCAAAGGTGTGTTGGGCGAATGCCACAGCCTCTATTGCCGTGCATTCATCTTGGTGCTCGCGCCGCAACAGATCGTATAGACGTAAAAATAAGCATTACACAGTTGTTATAAGCTGATCAGCGAGTCCTCTCCGCGTCTCTGCATCAGAAGCCACAGAAAACAAAGAAAAACAAACAGAAGTCCATTGGAAAGAAAAGGAAAGAGCATTCAAACTAGGCGACGTGAAAGCGCGTACATTGGAGGAGGTGGGAGGAAGGGAGAGGGAGAGCTGAGGGGTCAACCGAGAATGGTCGCTCGCTCCGGGGTCATTGTATGCAAAAGAGAGGAAAGAGGCCACCAGCAAAGAAAAAAAAAAACAATATCTGTTGTATGCGTAGCTTTCCATCGCCTGCATGTATATATATATATATATATATATATATTATTTATTTATTTATTTAAAGCCAAATGAAGCGGAGACATACTGCGGCGAGTGAAATGAAAATCAAGAGGGAGAGAAAGAAGTCAAAGAAGACGGGGACAATAATAATAATAATAATAATGAAAAGGACGCATTGGAGAGGGTCGATGGTGCGTTGTACGTTGGTCAACGTGAACATAACAACGACGCCGTCAGCATTCCTCAAAAAAAAAAACAGAATATAAAGTCGCCAACCAAAAGCCTCGTCTGACCCACGAAGTGAAGTTGCAGCAAATCTCTAAAAGGTCTACGATGGGCATGACAAAGATGAGGTAGCGTTGTGCGTTCGTCCTCCAAAAGAGCGCCATTATTTGAGAAAAGAAAAGAAAAAGAAAAGCATCGTTATGATTAAAGCCTGCTTCCACTCGTAAACCTAGTGCACGCGGTCACGATGGGAGTCCGTGTCCGCCGCGTCGTAGTGGTTTAACGGCTCAAAGCTCGCGAAGGACACGTGGTGGTCGTTGTCACGACCCGAATGACCAGAAAAGCTGCCGTCGCGCACGAGTTGGTTCGTCTCGACGGTGCCACGCGTGGCCTTTCCATCCGTACCGACGTCCACCGCTGCTTCATTTGCGGGGAGGCCGTCGACGGTGTCGGCTGGGGCCCCTCGCGCCGTGGCCTGCTGACTCATCGTGCTGCTGCTGCCCTTTCTCTTTTTCTTCTTGCCGTCGCCCTCGCGCGTTAACACCAGCTGCCCACCGCGCACGAGTCCAAAAGAGGCGACGCAGGCCATGAACATGACGTACATCGCGCTGATCTGCTGCACGTTGTTGGCGTACTCCGCTATCTTGTCGAGGGAGTGCTTCTGATCATCCGGGAGTGCCGCGATCATGTTGGCGACGAGGTTCGCTGCGATGGGGCCGACTGAGGCCTGTGCCGACGCCTTGCCCAAGTAGCCGACGCAGACGAGCAGCTTCTCCTTGTAGGGCATGCCGCTGCCGAGTTGAATTACGAAGATGACAACAATCCGAACGGCGGTGCTGCACACCATGCAGATGATCGCCTTGGGGAAGAAGGTGCCGTTGAAGATGGCCTTGACGTTGATCTTCGCGCCCATGGTGGCAAACAGGATCGGCATCATCGCCTGGTCCCAGGTGAAGGCCAGCCACGACGCGATGTACTTCTTGTGATCTTCGTGCTCCGCTTTACCCGTGCGGGCCCACATGTGCGCCACCGTGGCGGAGAAAAATACGCACATCACGCAGCCCCCACCAGCGAGGCTGACCTTGTAGCCGAGGAACACCATCGTGTAGCACGCAAACAGAAAGATGATGTAGGAGAAGTCCATGCAGCTGTTCAGGTGGTCGCGAGTGTACTTGCCGTTGGGCAGGCGGTCCGCCTCCTGCTTGATCAGCTCCACCACGTAGTAAAAGAGGACGCCGAGGGCGACGCCGATGGCGATGCCGCCAATGAACTGCACGGGGCCGAGCACAATCGCAACAGCCAACTTCTGATCGTAGAAGATCAGCCCGATGATGAAGTTCGCACACCACACCCCGATCACGATCTCAATACCGACGGCCGAGAGCATGAGGGAGAGCGGGCCCACCCCACGCCCGTAGCCGAGGTCCTGCAGGTACAGGCTGCCCGGCACGACGACGGCTGGGGAAACAATGCTGCACAGCATGCCCTGCAGAAACGCCCAGTTGTAGTTGTCGTTGTAGTCAAAAATTTTGTTTGCGATGAGGCTGTGCGCGACACCCTCGAAGGCGAAGGGCAGGGTGGCGAGCAGCACCGTCTGCTTCCAGTGCGGCAGGATCTCCTTGATCGCCAGCTTGTACCCCGCACGGGCGAGGATAACGGTGAGGCCCAGCTTGGAGCAGATGTCGTACACCTCCTTCACAATCCCGTGCGTCAGGTACTTCAGATGGGGGATGTTGTTCCACATAATGCCCATCCACAGCACGCCCACCAGCGGCGGCATTTGGATGATACGGCAGACGAGACCGCCGACGATGGCCGACACCACGACAAGCACCGCCGGGTCCCAGACGTAGCCGCCAGGCTCCACGAGCCAGCGGGGCAGCATGTTCCACAACATGAACCAAATCAACACCATGAAGCACACACGAATGAAGACGTTCAATAAGCGGATGGACAGGCGACGACCGCCAATGGCGATGATGAGGCCCTCCTTCCAGGTGTAGCGCATCTCCCAGTGCCGCTCGTCGTCCTCGCACTCGCGGATGGACGGGAGGAACCAGTTGCTGCCGGTGTAGGGCAGCAGGGAGTACAGATCACGGTTCGCCATGGTGTGCGTGACGTCCGAGATGTAGGCGAGATCGTCCTCGTCGAGCTGGTGGATCTCGTGTGCCAGCGGTATCAGGTGGTCTGGCAGCTCCCGCACGTAGGATTGATTCCGGAACGACTCGGAAAAGCGGAGGTGGTGACGATTGTTGTTGTCGTTGCTGCCGCCGCCGCCGCCGCCACTGTCGCCAGTGCGCGTGGTGCTGCAGTCAACATCGTCGTCGTCGTTCACCGTGGCCGCAACGCCACCACCACCAGCGTCGTTGTTGCTGCCGTTGTCGGCGACCCCCGCGCCGGGGTACGGGCCACCGTTCTCCACCGCCCCCTCCGCAGTGCGATAGGCATGGCGCCGCTTCACTGGTTCTCCGGCCGCCGTCGCTGTCGCCTTCTCCGACGCAAACGGTTTCCCCGGCACCACGATCACCTTCTCCTCCTCACCGCCTCCCTCGCGCGAGGCTTCAAACGTGGGGTGGCGGTTCTCCGGAAAGTCCGCCGCGTTGAAGGCGGAGGTGGTGGTGGTGGGGCCTTTCGGGGTGTGAAGGAACAGCGAGGTTGAGGCCGATCCACTGTCCGTGTTACCGCCCTCGCGCGAGTTTCGATTGGGGGACGCAAAGACAGACGAGTGAACGCCTGGCGATGCCGGGTGCGCGCCAGACGCGGCGGTGGCTGCGGCGCCGTCGTTTCCGTTGTCCGCAGCGGGAGCCGCGAGAGCCGGCCGCGGCACGTTATTGCTCGTCATGACTGGGCGAGCGTCTGCATCGGCGCTGGTCGGGAGTGTTTCGCGAGTCTGCGCACGACGGTTTCCGTGTCCGTTTTTCATTTAACGTAAACAGCGAAAAGAGTGAGATAAAGAGAGAGAAGTCTTATGAATAATAACAGTAATATTATTAAGAAGAAATCAACGAAAAGAGGAAAGAAATACACCAATCAATATGTGTGTGTGTGAGTCGAATTCGATTGTTTACGCTCGTCACACAGCAGCAGGGCACAGAAGAAGGAAAAAATAAAGCAGGAATAAATACTTGGAGGGTTGAGTGAAAAGTAAGAGAGCTGGTAAAGAGAGGGGTAGCGCGATAGACAGCGAATAATCTGAAACGCGGAACACGACAACAACCGATAAAAGAATGAAGGTGGTAAGTCGAAAAAAAAAAAGCGTGGATGGTGGTGCACCGACGCAGTGCAGGTGTACGTAATCGTCAACAAATAAATGAATAGGTGAGAAAAAAGGACGGTGAGAGAGAGGGAGAGAGACTATTTAAAACGCACGAAGATGGAACCCTAAATCGACGACAGGAACATATTCTTAGATGATTTTGTAAAAGGTGAAGTAGTTGTTGTTGCTAATATCATCAAATTCCGTGAAGCGAAAGGAGGACTCTACGCTGCGCGTTGATGCCGAGCTTCGCAACTTCAGTACAGCAAAAAAAAAAAACTGCGCCGAAGTCCGTCTTTGCGACATCATCGCATCGATGTCGCTTGTGGTACATCTCGCAAAGCGCTTCGACAGCAACTCTCCTTGTGTACCTTTCATTTCGCTACGTTCATAAGAGCAGCTCTCACACCCTTCACATCAGTTCAAAGCTGGCGATCCGTCGCTATTCTGATACATATATATATATGATACCTTTTATGTTTCAACGTTATCTGGAATTCTGCACCATACTACTTCGCTCACACCATGGGCACAGGCACGCCGACATGCGAAACCTCCTCTGTGATTAATAATCATAATAAGTGGGGGAAGAAAAGAAAAGAAAAGCTACCGCTCGAATGCGTCTCCAGGTACTCGCGTCCGTACCCAGCAAAGAGAAGAAAACACGGCCAGCTTCAGCCGCTTTCAACTCACCCACCCCACCCCCGAAAACACACTCCCTCGTGTTCGCAAGAACAGCAAGGACGTTTAGAATTATATTTATTTATCTCTCTGTAAAAGAGCGCAGGGCCCGTCCTTCACAAACCCACTTCGTCGTCCAATTTGCGGCGGTCAGACACACCCACACCCACACCCACAACGCACTGTCCACTTGACGAGGAACAGCACCGATATGAGGTCAACAGAAGCGAAGAACGCCGTAGAGAATGTGCAGCGAATTTCAATGGGAAGGCGCAGCGCCGTGGTGGGTGAAATGCCCTTAGTCCGTCCCGCCAAAGCCGGCGATGTAGGCCCAGCGAACGGCAATGCTGGCCCCGCTGACCATCAGCCGGAAGCGCAGCCCCGACCACAGCGCCGTCACGCCCTCCTCCCTCACGATCGTACGAGCGCAGTCCACGACGCCGCCGTAGCGACGGCCGTCATCGTCGTCCGAGGCGGTCAGCACAAGACGGCGGCTAACCACCTCCAGCGGCTGCGTGATCACATCCGCTACAATCGCGAGTCCACGTGCCACCGCGTAGGGGTACGACATCTGCAGCCGCTCGCTCACGAGGACGGACGCGACGAGGTAGAGCCCGCGGTAGGCGCACACCGTCACCGGCTCCACCGCAGCACCGCGGTAGAAACCACCCCACCCTTTGCGGCGATATATCTGTCGCGCCGTCTCCGACGCGGTCGCGTAGCGGTACGCCTCCTCTTCGGCTTCGCCGGCATCTCCCTCCGCCGCCTCCGGCCGCGGCTTCCTATTGTTGTCCCCCTCCTCCTCTTCCTCCGCTGGCGGCATCTGCGTCTTCGCCGCCACCGCCACCGGGGCGACGATGTCGGCCATGTAGTTCGTCATGATCGTCTTACGAATCGCATTGTACGGCGTCGCCACCCACACCGCCGCACTCGTCGCCGCGAGGGAGAGGGCCACGACGACGGGGGTGCTCATCTGCTCCGCCATGCTCTTCGGAATAACCCGCTGCAGACACACAAAGACGGCGTTGGTCGCGATGCTGTCGACGAGGCCGCTGGGCAGCGTCAGGACGGCGTCTGCCATCACACCGCGCAGCAGGCCGTATTTACCCTCCTTCCTCCACAGGCGCTGATAGAGCCGACGGATGCCACGGAAGCCGCCGGCGGGCAGACGGCCCTGGCGGACCAACTCGCCCTCCACCGCTGTCAGCACCATCACTCGATCGATGGGGGCCACGAGGGAGCGCTGGACAAGGTCCAGGACGGCGCGGATGACCATGTCGATCAAAAGGTCCGCAGGGGAGAGCTGATTTGGCATGCCGTACTGGCCGGCGTACATCGCGTCACCGCCGCTGGGCGTGGGGAACTGCTGCTGTGCCGCCTGCTGAGGCGGAGCCGCAGCCTGAGAGGACATCGCGTTCGTGGAGGCGATGACAAAAGAGAGAGAAGAAAAAAGAGAACACAAAGCAGGCGAAAGAAAGTCTAGCGTGGAGGGCTGCGAAGGAAAGCGTTGGTGATCTGCACGGCTGTGAAGAGCGAGAGAGCGAAGATAGAAGATAGAAAAGAAGAGAGAAGTGATAATAAAATAAAGAAGAGGCAACGGTGACGCGGAAGAGCAAAGAAGCGAAAGCAGGTACTCGCTGACGACGGCGACGAGAAGATCAGCGTAACCGTGTGCTTCAAAAGATAAAACTCGAGTGCCTCTTTGTAGACGAAGACCGTAGAACTTCCAAGGTTGAAATAAATAGATGTAAGACCACGACTAGCTTAAAAGATGCTTCGCCCGCACCGCTCCGCGAAGCACACAACAGATCTGAAAGCATTCACTTGTCAGTTCAACGTGCGAAAGAGAGAAAAAAAAATCAAAAAGGCGTTTACTGGCGCCACGTTGTCGAAGTGCGAAACATCAGCGTAGCAGAAATCAAAAAGAAGCTAGGGTAGGCGGCTCACATGACGGCACCCGAGAAGGACGGAGCGGTGGGGTATCCCGCAAACGTGACCACCAGCGGCACGAGCGTGCTCGTCAGTAGGCACAACGGCAGCCCGGCAAAGAGCGCGGTCGCCCCTTCGCGACGCGCCACCTGACGTGCGCAGTCCCACCCGTTCGCGTAGCGGCAGCCACGCCGCGCGTCTCCCACCTCCTTCTGCTCATCTGCTTCCTCGGAGGGCAGCAACGCCATGCGCTGTCGCAGCACAACAAACGGCCGCTGCAGCGTGTTCACCGTCCCCACCACAACCACGAGGGCGGCCAGGTTGAAGTAGCGGTGCTGTCCCAGTCGCGTCAACAGTGGAGAGGAGGTGGCAGTCGCTAACGAAAACTGTGGAGAAGCGGCGTGGGGCAGGGTGCTTTGCACGGGCGCGCCTGCCCTCGCGCGCATCGCAGCCACTTCTCGAATCCACCGTGTCGCCGGCTGTACGACGGTCCACACCAGCGTCATGGAGAGGGCACGACCCTCCATGTCCACATCCAACCCGTTCCACAACAGCCGCCGCAGCCCCACACGCTGACAGATGCGGTGCCACACATCGACCGCGCTGCTGTACCGGTGCACCCCGCTTTTCGATTTCGTTGTCTCCTCTCCTGCTGCCTTCTTTTCTGAGGAATCCGTTTTGCTTTCTGACCTTGTCGACGACGGCAGCGTCGTGGTGTCAGCAAGATAGTTCACCATCACCGCCGTGCGCACCGCTCGCAGCGGCCAGGACAACATACCCGCCAACAACATGGGGACGACAACGTGCAAACACGCCCACCCAAGTCCACTGCGAGGCCCGCCGGACCACTGCACCAGCCGCCGGCGGTAGAGGGTGCGCATCCCCATCACAATCACCGCTTCCTCGACCGAGGTGGCGAGCATAAAGCCGAGCTCGGCCCAGCCGCCGCGCAGAAAGGTCGCCGCGGACTTGTCTTCTCGGCAAAGGTGGCGCGACCAGCCAAACACACTCGTGCTCGACTTCCGCTCTGCGGCTTCGACGTTACTTTTCGCGTCCACCTCGATCGCATCCCTCCTCAGCTCCCCCTCCACACAGGTCAACGCATCCAGTCGACGCAGCGCCATCTTGATAACAAACTTGACAGAGGCGGTCGCCACCGTGTAGCCAAGCGTCACCAGGGCCGCGGCGATGTCGCTTCTCGTGAGGTTCGAAGAGGTCGGTACGCCCTCCTCGCGCAGAAAGGCGTCGATGTCATCCTGATCCGTCGAGGTGCGTGTGCCCTCCTCTGCGACGGACTGAGATGCAGCAGACATGCTCGATGAGGAACCTGCGTTGTATATATATATATATAAGTGCTTGGCTGATGGTTTGACGATTTCGCCTCCCTTTTCTCTCTCAAGTTGTGCTTCTTTTCGGCGTGATCTGAGAAGTTCCCAGCTTCACACCCAGTCGTTGTGTGTGGTGGCTGCAGGAAGAGATGGGCGCGACGGCAACTTCAGCTAGCTGATGATGATGTTGATGTTTCCCTTCAGAAGGGAGGAGGAATCCAACGAGAAAGGAGTCCAACAAAAAGAAGGGTCGAAGTGGTGAGAAAGGAAATATAAGGGGTAAAGCGGAGGGAACAAGGCGTCGTGGGAAGCGCAGCGTAGCACCGCCCGCGTCTGTGCAGGGGCTAGCCGAAGCAGCAAGCAACCATTAGAGCAAGCAATAACAACAACAAAAACCCTCTCGGGTTTCATACGCGGCTTTTACCCGAACACATGTTTTTTTTTTTTAACGTCAGAGGGAAATCGATCAGCCAGACTACCAGCGCAACCGAGCGCGTAAGACGCCTCGCTTCCTTCGTTCTATCAACAGTGACCTTTTCGTTGTGTAGTAGAAGATAAAAAATAATGAACGACGCAAACGTGAAGTAAATCAATAATGGTAATAATGGTAATAATGGTAAACGATGCCACAGCAACGGGACAGTCAGAGGGAAGAAGCAACGCGCTAAATCGCGACGCTTCAGCAAGTAGACAAAGGGGAACAAAAGGTAGAAGAACAAGCATACACGGCCAGATACTTTAAAAAAAAAACGAGGAAGAGGTAAAAGACCGCGATATGGTGTGTGTGTGTGTGTGTGGGGGGGGGTGCGAATATGTATATAGACATATTAAACAGCGATCAGCCCCGAGAGAAGCTGCAAAATGACGAGAACCACAAAGATTGGTGAGTGGCGGAGGGGTCATCCGTGAAGCTGACATCCATTTCAGCGCTCGTGCCTCACAGCAGCGTTGGCTCACAAGAACAAGGGGAGGGGAAAGGAAAAACGTAGAAGAAAACAAAAGAGCGGGGGAAACAACAGCAGCGGAGCATGTCAAAGAACTCGTGGTGGTGGTGGTGTGTGTGTGTGTGTGCGTATATATATACCGTAAACGCGCTCTTCGAGGATATTCGTGGGTGTCTTAACAATATCCGTTCGTGATGTGTATACATACTCCATCTGCACACGCAGCGACGGAACGAGAAGCAAGGAACACGCATAAGAAGAGTGGGCTGTTGTTTTCTTTATAAATCCACCAACACATGCTGCCCCTTCACAGCAACAATTGTGCCGCGGGACAGGTATTGCAACAGCCACTCCACGAAGTAAAAAAAGAATGTGTTGCCTCCCCTCCCTTCCCTCCTCCGTTACTGCGCGTGATGTGCAGCGAAGTCTATCGCGCGATTCAGCGCAATGGCAAGCGCAGAAGACAGCAGTGTCGACACCACCACAAGACCAAAGCCGCGGTACACCTGTCGTATCCCGCGCTTGCCGCTGCTGCGACCGCCCGCCCCAACCGGGCACTGCTGCGCCGCCGCCGCCGACGTCGGCGAGGCCGTCACCGGCGTGGTGGAGGTAGAGGCGAAGGCGAGAGCGGTGACGCAGCCCTCCCGGCCGTACATGGACTTCCACAGAAAGTCGCGTACTTCAGAGTGCACGGAGCGGAAGAAAACCTCCTCCCACCAAAAGCGCTCCACCTCGCCCGGCCTCCGGCGCCCGTCGGCGCTGACGGCCAACGACGTGGACGTACTGCTATGACTGTTGCTACTATTGTGCGTGTCGCCGTCCGCTGTGCGAGACGCGGTGGCGCCGCCGTGCTGGGCGAAGACCGGGTAGTCGTGCGCCACCTCCGCCGCCTTCCGCGCCGTTTCCTCCGCGCACCGCTCGTAGTAGCGCAGCCGCAGAAAGTGCGCGACGGGGTAGGTGGCGAAGGGGTAGGTCAGCACACTCATCGCGAGGGAGGCGACGAGCGGGCAGCCGGCGTACAAGACAAGCCGCTGGACACCCGTCATTTCCGTCCCGTTGTAGTGCTTCTGCGCCCTCATCATCAACCAGGTTAGAATCTTGTTGTTTGCTAAGGAGGTCACGTAGCGGCAGCCGAATTCTAAGAGGTAGAGGCGGCTCACCATCGACCGCACAGGGAAGTGTCTGACGAGGTACCTGGCGGTATCCCACGTACCCGAGAAACGCAGGCGCACCGGCGAAGACGGTAAAGACGGGTCGTTCTTACCGTTCTCCGCAGAGGCAGATTGGACTGGCTCCAGTGCGGGCGAGGCACGCTTTCCTCCTGTCTCCTCTGCGGTGAAGGTTGTGACGCTGTTGACGGCGATCGTGTCCAGCGCGCACTGAAGCGGCGCCACGGTGAAGTACACAAGGGCTGTGTGTAAGAGGGTGGTAGCGAGAACGGCATGTTGCATGCGCAGCGGCACGCGGCGGGCGATGGGGATCGCCACAATTCGCTGCAGCTCGTACTTGCCGATGCAGCCTACCACTTCCAGCATGGCGCCGCGGTAGAAGACACCGAGGGAGCGACCGCCAGCGTGGTAGAGAAAGCGCAGACACCCGATCGTGCTGCCGAAGCCCTGCGGCGGTAGAATGCCTTCCTCAATCAAGTCATCCTCTACGGTGACGAGGTAGCGGATGCGACGTAGGGGGGCGGTGAGAAAGGCCACAAAGGCGTTGCTCAGTACGACATTATAAACGCCCATGCTCGAGGAAAGAGAGGAATGATGATGCAAACACCTGAAGCCTGTGGCTCGCGTTGCTTTCACTTTTTGTTAAATCACAAAAAAAAAATGGAACACGGCAGCCAGATAAGAAAAGGTTTTTGCGTGAGTGAACCATTCCGTTCCACACACACACACACACGTATAGAAGTGATTTCTCCTTCCTTCACCTTCTACCCCAGTTGAGATCAGGCTCGCAGTGCTTCCTGTATGTGTGCCTGTATGCGCGTCTGTCTTGAAGGGCAAACCTGACGACGTACGACACGAGTGAAACAAAAAAGGGGGGAGGCGTAGGGCGGGAAGAGAAAGAGGGGGATAGATGATAGAAGGGACGCCGGCATGGATACGTGCGGCAGTGCAGAAAAAAATGCTATAAAAAACACAGTAGAGCTCTCTGCACTCTGCCTAGCGTGCACGGTGCGGCATCAGAAGAAATCGAGAAGAGACCTTTTCCCGGTGCTGCTACTACTGTTGTGGCAGTCGTGCAAAGGGAGGAGGAAGTGGCATGCGCGAAGTTGGCAGTACGCTCGTTGACTCTCTTTATGTTGATGGTTTTTTTTTTCTTGGACCCCGCTGTTTTCAACGTGCGGAATTGAAAAGGCCCCGTCAGGGTGTCTTCACCTGCGTGGGCGGCGCGTCCTCTTCGTCTGCGCCGAGAAGCTCGACAAGGAGAAATTCCGCGGCGTGTGCGATCTGCGCCACATCACCGCCCCTTTCCCATACGTCCGCAGAGCAATGCCGCCGACGCGCATCGCTTTCGTGTCCGTGCGGACCGGACGCGTTGCCACGCGGCACGCCTTCATCGCGTGCGCGTGTGTTCCCCCACATCGCCCACAGCGCGGCGCGATCGCCCGCCGTCAGCTCCACCCCACGCTCGCGCAGACGGTGCACCGTGTCCGCGTACAGGCTCGACGGGTGGGAGCGCGGGACCCGCGGGGCAACCAGTCGCAGCAGCGACACGTCCTCGCTCGCCTCGGCGACCTGCAGCGCCTCGACCCAATCGCCCGCCCAGCGGTCAGTGAGAAGGCGGCGGACGAGGTGGCGGCGGTGGCGCCAGTCTAGCGGCACCCGTGTACCGGGCAGCCGACGGGCATCGTCGGCATTTTGTTCTCTTCCTTCCGGCTGAGACGTCTTCGAAGCCGGACTGGTGGTAGAAGCGGCCGCCGCCACAAGCAGTTTCGTTGCCACGTCGGCTGCCACCACGGCGGCAGGGGTCTGCACCGTCGAAGCGATTTCCACAGGATCCTCATGATCACAGGAAGCATCACTAGCAGTAGTGCTGCTCGACAAAGTTGCACTGGATGCGGATTGTTGAGTGAAGGCAGAGAAAGAGGAGGAAGACGACATGTGCAACATCGCCTGCAGCAGCTGCACCACCGCCTCCTCCCGCGGCTCGACGCCGTCCCCCACACGGCAGCGCCACGTGGCCCAGAGATCCAACACGGCGCGGTCGAGATGTGCAGAAGAGGCGCGCAGCGCGTAGCCGACCTGCGCCACCACAAAACCGTCCAGATAACGCGTCGGCGACGCGTGAAAGCACCGCAGCGATTCGGCCCAGCGCGTGGCGGAGGCGAGCAGCTGGAAGATGCGTCCGTACTCCCGTGTGAGGTCGGCCGCCGCAGCTGCACCGCCACCACAATCACAATCCCCACGGTGGTGTAACTGTGCGAAGCGCCACAGCGCGAGTGCGCCCTGCCACGGCACATCGCTGCTCGTCTTCGCCGCCGCCTCACATGCGGTTAGGCCCTTCCGCAAGCGCTGCAGCCAAGGCAGCTGGGCAGTCGCATGACCGTCCGATTGAGGAAGGAGACACAGCTGCAGCGCCGTCTCCCAGTCGTTGCTGTCCGTGGCTGCGTTGATTTGTCGTAGCCGTTCGGTGGAGGAACATGACGCCGTGTCGTTGTCGTTGCTCCCCTCTAAAGCGTCCACGAGGGCGACCCACCGGTCAGCGCAGCCCATTGCGTACATCCACTGTTGAAACCAGAATCGGTAACGCGGCAATTGAGCGGGAGGGTGTGCGTCTCTTTGGTAGGCAAGAGCGGGTGTGCTGCGTCGTGCGTGGTGGCGATGAAGTGTCGACAGCTGGCGCGCAGCAGCCGCGAACGCCGAACGAGTTTTCCGTTGTAGAGACGCCGGCGCGGGTGTCCCTTCTTTCCGAGGGTGCAGGAAGACGCTTGTGACCAAATTCGGCAACTCACCGTTTTTGTCGCACGTTGACGCGCGGTTGTGGCCTTCCGCACGCAGCGTGCTCGCGCTCCTCCAGAATTCCTCCTCCACCAACTCCAACGCCACAGTCATGGATGGTGCTGGCGACAACGGAGAAGGGACTTGCGATGCCGACTTGAGCCCATCCGCAACGACCGCCTCAGCAGTAGCCCCCTGCGTCGCGGGCGACGAGAACAGCTGCGCGTACGCGCTCAGCAAAAGTAACGCCACCACGGTGGCATCTTGTTCCTTCTTCACCTCCCCCACACAAGCAGCCATGCGACGCACTGCGGCGTTGTAGAATTGAGAGAAGGACTGAAGCAACGCGTCCGTCTCGTCCGCCTTCGCGGCGGTGCTCGTCACCAGACACCGCAGCCAAGCATTAAAGAGAAGCATCCACTCCTCCACTGCCCCCTCACCACTCGGCGAAGCACACGCGCGCTCCTCCTGGGCGTGACGTCGTGAAGGTGTCGACGGTGCTGATGCAGACAGCGGTGACTGCCCTCCCGCGACTACAGTACGTCTCGCTCTCGCCGCTACCTCCAACGCGAGAAGCACATCCTGCGTGCGCTGGCTGTCCTGTCCGACAAAGTGAAGGAAAAGCGTGAAAGCGAATGGGAGACGCGAAGGGGGTGCGGACACAGACGGTGACGCAGCCGCGGCTTCTTCCTCGTGGAGTGCGACAGAGGAGGCCCATGAGGAGGAGGAGAACAAAGACGACGAGGTTTGCGTCTGCATCCACCGCCACACCCGCCACGCCGCAGCTTCGTCACCCCGCCACAGCAGCAACCACACACACCGCTCCTCCAGCGAAATCGACGCGGGCCAGCCGGTGAGTGGACGCTCCAGCGCGGCGGCGGCGGCACGTTGCATTTCCTTCGCTGCATGCGCGGGTACTGCAGTTGTGCTAATGAGGGGTGTGTTGGGTGACAAGAAGTGCAACGTTGTGGTCGTCTCCCGCGCGCGGAGGTCCTTCTGCGTCTGCAGCAGTTCGACTGCCGTCCTCCACGCTCCGCGCTGAATGTGCTGGCAAAGCGTCCCCTCCAAAGGCGACAACCGATACACAGCTGCAGGGCGGCGTGAAGGGGCACCAGTGGACTCCGTTTGTTGATTAGGTGAGTTGACCACGTCGTCTGCGCGTGCGTGGTTTCCCGGGTGCTCTTGATCTTCCCAAGAAGAGCACGGCTGTTGTGCCGGCGAGAAAGATGGAGGCTTTGGCGTTTGACGACGACGTCGATGGCGTGTGCGATGGCGGCGCGGACTTGTTCGTCTCTGCGCGAATGGCGCCCGTGGAGGTGGGGGAGAGGTGCGGCCAAATGAAGTCTCGATGCGATGGTCGTCGCATGTGAGCGGGTAATGGACGGAAGGCGTTGACGCCGTGAATAGTGCTCGTCGCTGCTCGGGATGCGACGGCCACGGCATCGTATTCTTTAACCACGCGGCAGAGGTGTGATACGTCCGTAACGGCGCGCGCAGTGTAGGGGCTGAACGACTGCCCAGGGAGGCACAATCCAGGAGCGGTCTGTCCCGCCTTCTTGCGAGGAGCACGACCAACGTTCTGTGGCTTTTGCTCTGTGATGGCGCGGACTCCACATTCCGTGAAGCGCGGGCGAGGCAGACACACCGGCGTGCAGCGGACTCCACCACGGCGTGTGCCGTCGTCTGCGTTATCATCGCATTGCTTTGCTTTTGTGGCTTTTGTGTTGATTCTCTAGTGTTGTAAATGGACCTAGTGCGCTGCAGAGCCAAACATACAAAGGAGTGAAAACACCAAAGGAAATAACAATAAGTAAAAATAAAGGCATCTAAAGTCCGCTTCGCGCCGCCCCCGCCAAAAAAGAGGCTTTTTAACGAAAGTGGCATCAAGGCGATAGAGAACGCCTCCGCACGCCCTTCCCTCCGCCTCTTCTTCTTGCACCGTATCCACTGACGTGAGCGCCGTCTTCGTCAGGACAAAACGAAGAACTATAAAGAGCAGACAAAACAGACAGAATAGAAGGCGTGAAAGCACGATGCCAGAAAGGGTTGTCGGCGAAGGTTTTACCTCTTTTATCTTCTTTTCCCTTTTTTTTAAAAAGCGAAGTGTACATGAACACGCACACACCAGGAAAGAGAATCCTAGAGAATGGTAGTGTGTACAGATAGTAACCACAATAGTACATGAAGAGAAAGGGTGAGGTACAATTACATCGAAGGAAGAAGGAGGAGAACACGGAGCTCAACAGAGAGCGCAAGCATTAAAAAAAGAACGTAAAAAACAAGAAGGAAGGTAAACAAGAGTGCATCGTTCACATGCGTAGAAAGCAACACCATTTACAGACAGAATCACCCGCGCACACTGGAAGACATCTAAACACGCCCAACCGCGCGCTGCTCCCTTACGCCAGCTACGTACGACCCAAGCGACACCAAACATAGAGTGGGAAAGAGAAACACACGCCTGATTCACTTCTGAATTCATCCCCATATATATTCTTTCTTCTCTACTTGAGCGGCGGCATAGACGCTAAGGCGGCCTCAGACCCAATCGTCTGCGCCATGTTGGCCTTGCGGCTATTCTTCAAGTTGGGCAGATTATTCTGTGTCAGGTCCAGCGTTTCTCCTTTGCGCGGCTCGGCGGTGGCCAGCCCCGTACCCCATGGCGCGTGCACCGGCATCGACCACTTGGTGCGGGTGTGCCACGTGCGGAAGGGGTGCCCAGACGAGCGAATCCTGCCCTTGTCGTACGGGTCAGGGATCCACTCCGGGTCGCTGCCCATGTGCAGCGTGTCCGGCTTGCCCGCTCGAAAGGGCCCGTACGTCTTGCGAGGCTTCTTCTCCGGCGCGCCCTGCGGCATCCACTCGGGGTAGTCGTATTGGATGGGCCCGGTGCGGAAGTGCAGCACCCGGCCGCCGTTCGGCTTTTCCTTGTAGGGGTCTGGAATGTGCTCGGGTTGGGCGCCGAGGTAGGGGCAGGGGCCGCCGGCCTTCATGTAGCCCGCCCGCGGCGACGGCGCGCCTTTGAGGTCAAGATCGCGATTGGCGTTGTCGCCCTTGTCTTCCCCGTCCCCGTCTGGCATGTACGGGTACTCGGAGAAGAGGCCTCGCTTCAGGGGGTTGTCGCGGGTAAACATGCCGGTCTGCCGCGGCAGGGCGCTCGACTCCACGGGTCGACCCGCCTCGGTGTTGGGCGGTATCTGGCCGAACCGGTTCGTTTCCTTGCCGTTGCCGCTGGCGAAGTCCATGCGGTCGCCCGCCTTGCGCTCGGCGACCCGGTCAGGCGCGATGGGGGGCGCGAACGGCCCGCTGCCCTCGTACTCATACTGGAATTGGCCACCGGCGCGTAGGTCGTGAAAAGGGGCGCTCTCACGGGCGATGTGGTCGGCCTCGCAGTCGTAGAGGTGGTGCCAGTTGGTCCAGTGCCGGCGGTTGTCCCAGTTCTTGGGACGCAGGTTGTGCACCGTCTCTAAGCGACCTTCCGTCATGGCTTCTTTTTTGGGGGGAAGCGCGGAGACGCCTACTTTTCTTTCAGCGCTATCGCTACTTAAAAAATAGAAATCCACTCTAGTGGAGAATAGGAAGTAGGTCAGATAGAGGGCTCGATGTCTGCGATACTTACCAAAAAGAAAACAGGAACGAGGAAAGTCTCTAGATATATATATATACAACAGTGCGGGTAGAGAGAAAAAAAAGGTATATATATATAGAGAGAGAGAGAGACGCCCTCACTGTATTACTATGCAGTTCGTCAGCGATACGTTCAGCCAGAATATATATTACCAAAAAAAAGAACAGGGGCAAGAGAGTGTGGAGAAAGTGCGGTTTTGACATGAGGAAGAGACCGTGTGTAATGAGCTACTGCGTCATGTACACGGGTGTGGAGCACACATCGCTATGTGTACAGCGCACCATCTTGATGTGCAAGTCTAACGGCACACGAGGCTGTTACTATTCGTTTTTCCCCGATGCATTTTCCTTTAAACAACACAGTTCATAATTCAACGTTGCACAGCGAAACAGCAGACAGCAAGTACTACTGTGGATACCACAAGTGCGTCTAATCCCTTTTCTTCTTCTGTTGAGCATGATTGCCGTAAACTGGGAAGCAGAACAGCGTGACGCGGCTCACCGAAACGAAAGAGGGGGGGGGGGAACAAAGCAAGAGCGCGATAAACGAACAAGACGAGAAGTTCCTTTTTTTTTAAGGTGTGAGAAGCAGCACGGCAGCTGCTCCCCACTAATGTACACACACACACACACACACACACGTTCTGATGCACACGCAAGTGAGCGAGCGAGTGAGCAACGTGGCAGAAGAGCCTTTACGGGTAAACACCCACAAAGCACAGAAAAAACCCTGCAGCAGTTCATGCCCGTTAAAAGACAAGATGGTATTCGGCACACACGCATACAAGAAGACGATCACCGAAAGCCTTTGCCTTCCTGTAGGAAGTGGCCCACCATCGGCTGCCCCACGCCAAGTCCCGGCGCCTTCGCCCCATCACTGGAGCCGTGCGAGATGCCCTTCATCGCCACCTGATCCGCCGGCGCGGCGAGCGGCGCGTACTCCTTCACGGTAATGCCAAACTTCTTCTCGAACGCAAACTCCTCGAACTGGAAGATGTAGTCCTGGAAGACGTCGCCGATGACGCCGTCGTGGAGGCAGAAGTACGGCATCTGCGCATCGTGAAAGGGGCGCGCGTTGGACAGGTACTCGGTTTGTCCGTTGATCATCTGCATGCGGCGGAAGCGATCCAGTTCGATGCCAAAGTAATCCAGCGTCTTCTGCGCAACGCGAGAGGCGTGACGCTTGACGTCGCGGTTGGACCAGTGTGCCATGCGGCGCTGGTCGAAATGGCCGTAGTACTCGATGGCGTTTTCCGTGCCGGAGCCGAAGATGCCGAGTACTTTTTCGCCCATCGACGCCAGCTGCGAGTCACTCGGCGGCCTGCCGGTGTAGAGAGCGTTGTGCAGGCAGAGAGCGGAGCACAGGGACGGCAGGCACTGACCCAACGCGCGATGCACCCAAATGGCCTTCATATTAGGAAAAACCGTGTGGAGCGCTTCCGAGCTCAAAATGGCAAAAGGGCTGTGCAGGAGCCACGGGGGGTGGAGCAGGGTGTTCTTCGTGCCGTACGTCTGCATCTCCATCGCGTTGTCGATCGGCTCCACCTCGCGCGTGACGGCCTCGGAGAAGTGGCCGCACTTTTTGTACCACTGGAACAGCTCCATGACGCGGCGCACCTCGGTGTACACCGGCAGCTGATCCTCCTCGAGGCACTCCAGCAGGTACTCATCTAAGCCGTGCAGGAGCCCCCAGGCGTGCGACTGCGGTGTCATGAGGTGCAGCGTGAGGTCATCGTCTACCTGGTCCACCCGCGGCACCCGCGCACACAGGAAGTCCGGGTGGAGGTAGCCAAAGCCGCGGAACTTTCTCTGAAAAGCGTCCCGCCGCTCCGTCTCGAGCAGGAGCGATGGGGAGAGGGTGTCGCACTGCCGCAGTGTCAGGAAGAGGCCGGAGCGGGCCAACACGTGCGCCGCCATGTGCGCGTTCGAGCGCGGTAACCCCATCACCACAATTGGGTTGTCGATCGGGGCCCCCATGGCGATTTCGCCGCCGTTCAGTCGGTACACTTCTTCCACGGCCATCCGCTGCGATAGGGCGTTGACCAGGCGCGACCGCAGCAACTGACTGCCGTGCTTCGTGGTGCCCGTCTTATCCTGACATGCTCGGCAGAGCTTTTTCCACCAGCGGCTGTGGGGCAGGTCGGGTTCGGCAGGCACGGCGACGCTGGCGGCGGCGCACGCGTCGACGACGACCGACTCGAACTCAAAACTCTCATGCTTGGCGCGAGAGCTGAGGGCGTTGGCGATGCGGAGAGGCAGAGCACCGCCCCGGACGAGGTCGCGCACGCCCGACATCGACTTCAACCCATTCATGTTTCAACTTTTTTGTTGGTATGCGTGTGTAGGAGAGTATTTGTTGTTCTGTCGATCAGCTTTTCTTTCACGACAGGGGGGAAAGGGGAATAGAGGAAACAAAAAGCGAAGAAGAAAAATGGAAGCATCCACAAGAAAAGGCACCCTCACACACTGGAAAACAAAAGAACCGCACGTGTCAGGTGTGAGTTAGCGTTTGCTCCCAGCGAAGAAAGAGGAGCGCTTCACTTTTCTTTCTTTCTTTTGGTATTCGTGCGCAACAGCAACATTAGCAAATTGACCGATGCATCCTCTCTGTAAACGCCTCCAGTTTTCCACGTCCAATTTGGTGAGGAGGGAGTCCTCTCTCGCTCTCTCTTTCTCTCTTCCACGCCTGAGAGAAGCGACGCATGCGCAAGAGCCGCTTGCAACACGACCGCAGAAGAAGCATTTGACTGATTTGTTGTGTTTTTCTTTTTCCGATGTGCTAGCACGCTTAGTAGCTTTTTCATGTTTATTTGCTCATCCAACTACAAGGGAGAAAAACAGGATAAAGACAAACGCTAAACTTCCAACAGGCGTTTCGCTTGGTTCGAAACACCAGCGCCGGTACACTCGCGTGCCACGCCGTATGCGCTTACTGGGAGAAAAGAGAAGTTTTACACGAAGGAAGCGTTGTCGTAAGATAAAGAAAAAAAAATGAGGACACCACAACCAAACATCGACAATAGGCAAACAGGGAGAGAGAGAGAAGAAAAAAAAAAGGAACGTCCACCACCACGCGAACAAATCACACAGAATTCACAACGACAATAACAACAAAAAAAGAAGAGGACAGATGTCTTCAAAACTCACAGAAGAAACGTTGAAACAGAACTGCAGTCGTTTAACGTAAAGAAAATGAAGAGAAAAAGATCATGCACTAGAAGAAACGTCGGCGACTCCAAATCAACAGTAGGAGGAGGAGAGAAAGGCTGTTTTTCTTTTTTAAGAGTAATAAAAGCAAAAAATCATGACAAAAAGAGACCCATTACTTCACTTTGATACCTATTGCTAGCGCGATCTGCTACAGGAGAGCGCTTAGAAGTCGGCGTTGCATTCATTCAGTGCCACAATACTTTTGTTTTGGGAAAGCTAATGCTGAGAATGAATGCACGAAACGGATGTTTTACTTAGTTATGGCAGCTCCAATGCAGAATCGCTCAAAAAAAGAGAAAAAGAAATATGTGTATTAGATGGGCCAGCACACGAATTGCCTTCAAAAAGCTTTAATGAAAAATTATGCTTAAAAATGAGTCGGCCCGTGCAACAAAGGGGCACATTTGATGAAAAAAGAAAGAAAGCAGAAATAAAACTGCTGTGAAAATGCCACCGTCACTGTATCTTTGAACAATGGTTCGAGTCCTCGGAAAAATGCTTATAGAACAGTTTGAACGGCGTTGCTTCTTCTCCGCAAACAACCACGTCGATTGAAACCTCAATAACACGTCATTCGCTTCATAGTGGCTTTGCTTGGGCATTCAAAACGCAACAACAGTTTCATTACTTCTTTTTTACGTTGCAGTTCAGGATTATTCCTTTTTTTCCCTCCTCCTGCTCTCTTCTGTCAAACACGTATGTGAATCCCTTTTCCTTTTTGCACCAACGGTAGTTTTGTGTTTCACCCTTGGCACTAGGAACCCTACGGCTAAGCTTTTCTTTTGTTTGGAAACGCTTTGACCTTCAGAAACCAGTTTTGGCGCTGATGTCTCCTACTCGGGGTGCACACTTTGCTACTATGTTTCCTCCACCGACATTACCGCGAGAAGCGCGTCGAGTCGGAGAAGGAAGAAACCACCGTCTGCGAGTACTGGCGCTGGAGAGAGAAGATGGTCGCGAGAACCAGCGCGGAGCCCAGCACGAGGACAAGCATGGTAGGGCCACGGGTGTCATCGTAGCGCATCGGCTCACGCATGTAAATCTTGTTGGCGCGGTCGCGGAAGATGAAGAGCGAGTACACCATAAAGATAATGGAGACCGGCAGCAACAGCAAGCCTGCCAGCTCTGCCCCGTTGCTCGTGGAGTCACCGAAGTTGAGGAGGGTGAGGGACATGAGGCCGACCATCACCGAAATGGAAAGCCACTTCAGAAACGTGCGCTCGTTGGCGAAGAAAGTCTTCGGGTCAATTTTTTGCGGCACGCAAATGCGCTTGTCGTTCACGGAGCCGGTGAGGTTGCGATCGCCGGGGCCCTGCAAGCTCTCATACTTGTCGTCACCCTCGTCCTGGCCCTCAGCCCATGGCTTCAGAGAGCCGCCGACACAGCAGAGGTAGGAAAGGCTGCGGTTCGTAGCGTCCATGTTGGAGATACCTCACGTGGATCTGTACGTATGTAACGATGAGTGAATAAGTTTGCAGAGTTGTGGCGTTGCGTCGAAAAAATGAGATGGTTGCACAAAAGCGGACAACTAAAAGAGAAAGCTTCTACTAATCTTTTTCTGTTATCGTCGAGGACGCGACACGAGCTTTTTGCACGAGGAAAGCAACACAGTTTGCAAAAAAAGAAAAAAGAAATGCAGGGAAGTGATCAAGCAGCATTAAATAAAAGAGAGATGAAGAGCGAACGTAGTAACAAAGAAAGAGATAGCGCTTTGTTGCTAGAATCAGAAAGCGACACATGAAAAGAAAGCCTTCCCGCCGCGACTACTGGAAAGGTCATCCCTTTCCTAAAGTGAAGACATTTTTTATTCGGAGCGCTACGAAGCGCGTCTCTACGGTAAAGCACAGGCAGCAAAAGGATTTTCTTTTTCGTTGATACGTTGAACTAAGGTAACATAAACACCATTGGAGACTGAGCGGAAGCTTTAGCGTCGATGCAGTGACACACTTCTCAGGTTTTTTCTGTTCTTTTGTGCCTACGGCTTTATTGGCCAATTCACAGTGGAGGCTGTGAAGGCACTTCTCGTGGCGCGCAAGTTCTTAATCTTCTTTTCTAGACTGCGGTTGCTGTGTATCGTCACTTTCTGCACTTGGGACCAAGACGGATTGCGTGGGGTTGTGAGCTGCGAGATAATTGGTCGTAAAAACACATGTTGTGATGACGAGACGCCACAGCATTGTCCATGCAAGATACCGTTTGAGAGGCATCTGCCAGTAGAGGGCGTACTCAAACCCGTTGACAACTAAGCTAGCCGCATGCAACGCAATGAGCACTACAGCACCGGGAAATATTAACGAATACAGGAGAAACGGGACAATCGCTCGATCCCCCTCGGCCCCGCACATGTCGCGGAGCGGCCATGGCAGAGAGCGAAGCCGCAAAAGCTTCATCCGCGGGCTCTGCCCAAGGGCAATAGCCCGGGTGACTTGTGTTGAGTTCGCGTACGTGATTCCTGCTACAAATAAGGTGAAGGAGAGCACATTGAAAGCGAGTTCGCGTTTCACTAGGACTGCAGGCGCACTGCTCTGCTCTACAATGGACTTTTCCATTATGTAGTTCGCCACAATCATAAACGTAGCCATCACGCTAAAAGAAACCGCAAATGTTGGTCGAAGGAGAACCTCGTAAAACGAGTCCGTCTCCGGTAGCAAACGAAACTCCATTATGCACAAATCGATGCAAAGCAAAAAATAAGAGGTAATAGCGCTTTCTGTTAAAAGCAGAAGCAAGTTATGGTGAGTCTGAATCTAAAAATCCAGAACATTCCTTAACAGGATGAAAGCAAACAGTAGAATAAGTACGCTTTCATGAGAAAGAGAAGACAAGGAAAAGGAGAAAAAATGATTAAACGTTAGTGAGGAAAGCACACGAGCAGACAGAAAAGCGCTCTCCCTATTCAATGAGTCTTCATTCCCACTTTTCATTTTTCGACTAGTGAGGACACTATGATTCTCTTCTTCTCTTTCCAATTTGTGGGTACATGCGATGTATGTTGCGGTCGTAGAGACACAGAGAATGCCAATGTGAGCAGAAGCTGTTCACCTTCACGCGCTGCAAACACAC